TACATTAAGACCGAAAAGGTTTCGGAAATTCTCATTTAAAATTCGCGCGCTGTATATTTTTCGATATTTTAAGTTTATGTAGTTTGGCAGCAATTAAGGACAATTTCTATGCCAAAAATGAGCGCGATCTGTCAGACAGTTCGTTTACGGCAGCTGTTGAAACCAGTTCACCTCAGTAGTGCGTTGCGAAAAAAACAATGGAAAAAATATTGAACAAAGAGTTTGCATCAAATTTTGTGTTTCGAACGAAATTTCGTGTGCAGAATCGTTGCGAATGCTACAAAAGGCTTATGGGGAATCAGTTTTATCGAAAACTCAAGTTTATGAGTGGTACAAAGCCTTTCAGGACGGTCGTACGACCGTCGAAGACATTTCGCAACGCACTACTGAGGGGAACTGGTTTCAACAGCTGCCGTAAACGAACTGTCTGACAGATCGCGCTCATTTTTGGCATAGTAATTAAGGACAGTGCTGCCAAACTACATAAACTTAAAATATCGAAAAATATACAGCGCGCGAATTTTAAATGACGCCGAATGCTTTTAAAATGAGTACAGAATTTCCGAAAACTTTTCAGTCTTAATGTATATTCTCAAGTGCGTTCCACCAGCAAATTTTCGTATATTTTCGTGTAAATTTTACTTGTGTTTTACTTCAGATTTACCACGAGTAGTTCGTGGAACAGACCTATTCTTTTTTATTTCTAAGTATAAAACAGTGTTTGAAAAGGTTATAATAATAATAATTATTACATTTTTTCAATATGTTTGCAAAAATAATGAATAAATTCAAATACTTATTAAAATGTTTATTGATTTAAAACTACAACTTGCTTATACGTGAGACAATGCAATAATAATATTTGTAAGCTAGTTAAATCAACTATTTTTAGTACATTTTTTTAAAAATATATTATTAATTGTATATGCCATATATTGTGATCTGACCTAAGATTGATTAACCCTTACCCAAACCACTAAAAATAAGTGTTCATAGTATTCAGTATTCCGGTCCTGACTTTTAGTTATGATATGTGTAAATGAGACTTATACTTCGAAAAGTTGCAGCTAATATCTTAAATTCCTTTTTTTTTACTAATAAAGTACTTTTGAGGTTATTCAGGCAATTTTTTTCATAGAAGTATTAATAGAAATAATAATATAAGTAAGCATATTTTGTAATTGTGATTAAATAGTGTATGAAAGGTGGTGTGTTTGTTAACCATATATGCAATACACTTTCAATTGAAATGTTACACAAACATTCTGTGACTGTTTAGTCTACACACAAAACATTGATTGAATGATGACACTATTTGACGTATTCTGAAATTTTTTTTGTAACTGTAGGATCAATATGCAAAAAATAATAATAATAATAATAATAATTATAATGTTTATTATTAATTATAATAAAATATTTGAGCAATTTTATTAATAAAAATATTATTATCTTTATTTTATCATATCAAGCTTAGTATTTTTAGTGACAGATGTATACCGTAGGATATTGAAAGTAAATCCTTAGGTGTTCCTTAAAGAACATATGTATATCAGATATATTAAATTATCAAAGTTCTCAAAAGAACAAATAATATATTGAAATAATATATATTTATTAATTTATTTGTAAAACAAAATATCACAGAAAAAGAGTACAAAACATTACAAACAAACCTGTAACTTTAAGTTAAAAATTAATATATTTTCTTTTAAAATAGTAATATAATTATTATAATCATAAATAATAATATTGAGAGATATAGATAATATTTTAAATTTCATTTCAATAAAGGTCAATCAATTATATTTAATTTAATTGCAATACCTTATTGTAACCGGAGCTATGCACTATTGATTACTTTTGTAATTAGATAAACCTCAATTCCTGATATCTAAGTAAATGGAATTGGAAATTGAGTAACGAGACTACAAATGGAATTGGATTTTAAGGATCTCAATTCTAAGTACAAGGATTTAGAATTGGGAATTGAGTTACTAGATAAAAAGTCGAATTGGAATTGAAAAATCCAAGTCTTAATTCCACGTAACTTGTAAAAGCAATTGAGGGAAGAGGAAGCACCGTAACTTCTAAGCAATTAGTAATTTGTTGGATTTTGCATGCTCTCTCCATTATAGTCCCTTGTTGGATTGATTGTTGATGCTTTTTGTATTTAGTGTGTAGAAATGTTTCATAAGCACATCAAAGCAGATCAATTGATAGCAGATCAAACGAATATATTTGCATTGTTGCTCTTTTTCATGCAATATTTGTAAAGCCATATGTTTTGTTTTTTTTTTTGTGCAATATTACGTTGATATTGTGAGAATAAGATAATGAGATTAAGTTAATCTTAATTTTTTATATATACCGTTTACATTATGCTTTGGAGATTAATTTTTATGTTTCTCTTTTTATGTTATGTTTTGTTTCGTGTGTTTGTTAAATTTCTGTAAATAAAATATTTAATTATAACTATGTACAAAAAAAATATGATATAAATTTAATTAATAGTTTTATAATAAAAGTTTAACATATTTTAGTTATAATTATATATTAAACTATTATTAAATAAATTTGATGAAAATTTCACTCATTTTCGAATTTTCAATATTTGTTTTAAATATATTTTGACATTTCTCTATAAATTCTTTTAAGATCGTAAAAAAATATACGATATGAAAACATTTGCCCAGTTGCACACAGAAATAATCACCATTTTAAAGGAGATTTAAAATTAATCTCGACCTACTGGACACTACTTTTGTATGAGAAATCTGAGATTAAATAACGAAGTTAGTACTTTAATACCGATTTTTGCTTTAATCGACTTATAATCACACAATGTAAATGCCGCATTAGGTATGTTCTAGAATGCAGCACAAATATTTCATTAACTTTATAAAAATATTTTATATATTTTTTTTATATCTCAAATCTCTAAAGGATAATTACGAATACACTAAATTGTAGAGTGCAAATTAAATGAATGAAATATTTTCAGTTTTTGTAGAGGAAAATTTTAATAATTCTCATTGAGAGCTGAATTGTTAAAAGTATTTCAAATATACTATATATATATTAAGAGCACTCGTTCTGAAGAAAATGCAGCTTGGTCATGTCAGCTTAGAATTTATACAGTCCAATGTAGTTTACTATTTGTGTTTTAAATACATAATTTAAAATAATATACATTATATAGTAAATCGTTTAAGGTACACCTTACAACTTTTGAATTTTCTGAATTCAAATTCCTAAAGGATATAATATTGCATGAGGCTTTTAGCTTGTTTAAAATTATAAGTAACTGTCAAAAATAGTTTCTGTGCTTTAGTCAATGACCGTAAATATATTACGGTGCTCGTTATTACGGTCTTTAATGTTTTTTGTAATTAAAAGCTTTAAATTAGTAAAAAACTTAATTCATAAGCTTGTGAAAATTCTCCAAATGTGATAAAGCTCATTTGCATGATATCAAAATGTCGGATAGTAAATTAATTAAAAATGTTTTGCAAGGTATTTATAAAGTACAAGTGATTTCAATATAAAAAATCGGAAGATAGAATGATTTTCTCGAATTCTCTCTAATTTCATAAAGATTTTTGTGCAAAATAGTGAACAGTGCTACCGTACACTATCAAAAGCTGTTTAGAATAGTAGATAACAAACGAAAGTTTTATGGATTTAATGACCATACATGGTTGAAGACACAATCAAGAAATATATCAGTACCTACGTCAAATGATTAGTAGTGTATCAAATTTCCAATATCCATCAATTATCGACGAGAGAATATTACCCACAAGAAGACTAAAACGAGTAACTCTGTTAGAATTAGCTCTTATATTCGCTTAAAACTTCAAGTCCAATAGTTTCGAATATAAAGATATAAAAACAATATGTATCTGTTTAATTGACTACAAAGCATGTATATATTTACTTCAAATTGATTAAAAATGTTACTTATTGTTCAATACAAATAGTAAATAAGTTGAAAATTATAAAAAAACCAATAATTATGGAAAATTTAAATTTGGAAAAAATTCATTTAATTTTGTTTTAAGTTATTGGTCGAATAGCCATTACAACGTTCTTTAAAGAGTAATAATGTCCATGCCAGGAGTGCCAAATTACGCCGGTTGCGTATAGCGATTCATTAAATTTGCCTCTCAAATATTTACCATTCAAATTGCTAAAACATACAAAAATGATAACAAACAAATTATTATATATTTTAAATAAACTAAAAGTTCTTACCTGGCATGGCAAGCTGCATACCACCAACCACCTTTAAACGCATCAGCACAATTGTTTTCCGCGAGATCATTGTCAACTTCAGGTGTTGAAAATTTCATACCTTGATGAAAAGTGAATGAATCACCAGCATTTCCACTATATTTTCCCAAAATTTTTAAATCATACTGAGTGGAGTTATCGCCTATCGCAAATGAATCATACTTTGCGTAACGTTTCTCTCCTTCGAAATCTTCCATATCAAACCATAATTCATGTAGTTCAGATTGAGTTATGACATTTAATTTCTCTAAACCAATGAAAAATGCACCATTCAAATTACCAAAACCTTTTTGGTACGTTTTCCAATCACGAATCAACGAAAAATCAATTCCACCCTCTTGGCGACGTTGAATTACCGTCCAAGCGGTTCCATTATTTGGATCGTTTAGGCAATAAACATAGAACGGCTTCAGATCTGAATCAGGTATGTAAATCTTGTAAATTCCAGATTTATTATTATTAGATTGTAGTGCCTCAGCACAATTCTTTGGTAGTTGTTTTTGATATTTCATTTTAGTGGTATAGGGCCGACAATCCACATCTGAAAAATCAAAATCGCCGCGTAAGTCAATAGATGAAGTGCAATCATTTATCTTAGCTGATTTAATAAAATTTTCACTTAAATGCAATAGCTTCGAAAAATGCTGTTCCATTTCATTGTATAAACCTTTCATCTCTTGATTCAATCTGTAGAAAATGGTTCTCCATTATACCTTTTTTTACTTAAGTAGAAAAATCTAATACTAACCTCATATTGTACATGTCCAATTTTAGACCCAAATTTTCATTAACTACTTTTAATGCTTCCAACTGACTCCGTACGTCCTTCATAGTGTTGTTTTCGCGCCAAATAGAAGGGTGCTGGAATTATTAGAAGAATTATTTATGAAAACCGGTTTATACATTAATTCAGAGAATTTTTATGTTAACGCACATGAATAATATTGTCATGTTGCGATTTTACTGCAAATATGACGATTTTTATTATTAAAATTATTAGTAATTTTTGCATCTTACTGGAGTCACAATCTTCTCAAAACTAAATTTAATTTTTATTTCATAATTGTTTTAGTTAATCATTTCTAAAAAAGAGTGTGGAGATTTTTCTGATAAAAGTTCTTTTAAATTATTTGAGATTTATATTCAGTTTTTTTTTTTTTATTTCATATTTGTGGTAATAGTTATATGTATTAAAAAAAAATATATTCTGCAAATTTTATTCCTCTTCTCTCTATCATATTATTACAACATATTAAGCTGTCGAGAATAATAAATTGAGAAGTGGACTTGAAATTAAATATTTAAATAAAAAATGAAAACATTTTGAGATAAGCCTTCATGTTTGAAAAACTATAAACACATCATAAATGAAATTAGTATAAAATTATATTTTCGTGATAAATTCGTGTTGTGATAAATCTAAAACATTTTAGTGTTGGACTAACGTCGGGTAGTATTTCGATTTGCTTTTGAATTTTGACCTTGTCATGCAGCGGGGTTATCAGTTAGTAGTTAATTATTGTAGTCGTATAAAAAGATTGGTCATCTGATTTTTATTATTTCAATATCATATGCGTAAGACAATATGGGTTCCTCCAGGAGAAACATCCATAGTGCATTGTGATGCAGCAAACATTTCTTCAGTTTCCGAATTGACGTGAATCTTAAAAATACTCGCATCATAGTAATATTCTATGTGACCTGATTTCAGTTATGTAGTTACGGGTCCCCATCCAGTACTTTTCACTCTACTTCGATAAGTTGCAATCCGTTTCGTTAATCATTCTCTTTTACAGTAAGGGTCTTCTTGAGATTGGTCACAAAATCTATACTTGATAAGACTGCTATGATTCTGGCAATTACTCTAATCGTTGACCCATGTAACCTTCTTCCTTCACTAACATTTTCTTTGCTAATAAATCTGATTTTAATGTTTTTTAAAGAGAGGTTTCAAATAGTAATGAACTGCAGCAACAAAATTTTTCATTTATTTTTAACTAATTGGGGTTCTGATTGAGCCCAATTAGTCGTGGAATTATTTCTCATATTTAATTAGTCGTAATAATTTTGTTGCAAATTGCAAGTACCAAGAATTGAACACGTGGCCTGTCAAATTTGTAGCTCAGAGTCAATGTTCATTAGCTAACTGACTCATAACCGTAGTTGACTATTATGTTCGAACTTAGAGTTAAGTTAATTTGCTGTGAACGTGAACCAATTCGCTGGTTGTAATTTATTAGAAAGAATTCATAAACTTGCTCTAGAATAATTAAATAATTTAAAAAAATATTGATTAAATGAAAATATTTGTTGTTGCAATTCACTGCTGTTTGAAACGTCTATTAAATTTTACTTAAAAAATTATTTAAGACTTCTTTTCATATTTTTCAAATTTAAAAACACAAAACTTAATTTCCTTAATTGTTCACAAATGTTTATTTTTGTATTTAAATTGAATAAATTTATTGCATATTTTTTCATAGCTTTTTACGGAAGTGGATGAAATGGGTGAAGATTTAATTTTTTCCCCTAAGAAATTTATTTTTGATTGTTTTTAAACAAATTCGGTGACAAGTGGCTCAATAATTTGTGTATTTGTTCTCTAGTATCGTTGTGTCGAGAATATTATTTGCTTTAGATATAAATCACATGAGTATACAAGAGACGAAAACATAAGAGCACGTTGTATTATACTTCAAAGAAGCGAAATATTTACACATTTCAAGTTCGAGTTGTATATTTCTACAGAAATAACCATCTGAAGACACCTGAAAGTATGCTTTGCTATATGTACATATCTCTTCGAAAAATGATATATGAAGTTGTCAGCAGCATCAATATTCTACGTGTGTGTGGGATAAAGATTTGTTAACTGATATAACAGCGATTTTTATGGGTTACTAATATTAAGTCGTTCCTTGTTCGATTCGCAAAATCGAGTTAAAAATTTAAAATGAAAATCATAATGTTGAAATGGAAAGAATAATCAACAATTTTAAATATTGGTTAAAACAAAGAAAACAATTTCAAAGTTTTAGTTAAAATAAAATATCCGTAAACTGTAATTCTGTCATTCTATCTTAAATATAAATACAAATTAGTTAATTTATTAGTTTATATGTATAGTTATTATTTTTGTGAATATGCTTTAGATTTCATTCATAATTTTTTTATTAAGTTTTAACATTTTTCTTAAAAATTACATCAAATAAAATGCCGTCACATTTTTTATAAGAAATATAATAAGAATAACTTTATTATAATTTAAACTATTGAAATATATTATAAGTTCTGACTTAACTCATAATTAGCATAAATCATGGCTTTGATCGAGCTATTAAGTACTTTTATTGTCATTTTTTAAACAACAAAGTTTATCAAAATCCAGGTTCAAAATCCGTCGTCAAGTCGAGGCGCCTAAGAAACTGTAATCGTCTGGTTGATATTTTATCTATTTGTCGACTTTATCTGCCTGGATTTAAAAGAAGGTCCTTTGCAAATCATCATTCGATTAGCTGAAAAGCTAAGAAATTCATTTTAATTCGTCGTAAATCTTATATATATATATATATATACGTTTAGTAAATAGCAATCAGTAAATATAGTAGATGATTTATTGCTTTATTAATAAATAAGTCATGAAATAATTTTTATTTACTTTGAATTTATTAATATCTTTCCTAAAATAAGTTAAAACCATTTAATCTTAATCAAAATAAATACTTAGAGAGATAAAAGAATATTTATATAATTAAGATGTTTAAAGTTATTTTTATTTAATTTTTATTTATTTCTTGAAAACAATTTTATTCTGTGACGTGATTTGTAGTAATTTGTAAATTTTAGCACGATTTCCTTTTCCAATTTTGGTTGAAAGCAAAATTGGGAAGTGGCAGCGGATGTCAATTAGAGATTTTTCTATTTTTAAAAAATTTTTATTGCTTAGCTTTTAGTATCTTTTGCGAGGGTTCGTTTGTTCCGTTTTATCGGTCATTAGTTAAACGCTGATTCCATTGATTCCAACAATAAATGTTGACATTCAAGCAAACAAGGTGAACCATGTCCTTAAAAGCAGAACCAGCGCCATGTGCGTGTCAGCATTTTTCTTCCTTGATTTGATTTATAAAGTGTTTGTGAGGGCGTCACAAAAGGCGTGTTTCAATAATAATTCAATTGTGTAATATCTTCTGGTATTTAGTCAAACAAATTAATTAACAAAATTGACACGATATGCTCTTTAACGATATATTTATACATAACACGCTTAAAATAACACAATGTAAAAAAAAATAATTTTTAAAATATAATTATTATTCGAATTATATACATATATTCTATATACTGGTATATTCAATATTCTTCATTTAACCTTAAATAGAGAATAACCATCTAAACCGCTGCTGTTCTATAGCTGCCAAACCTGGTTGAAAAATACAACTCCGCATCGATTCTATTAACATATATTCAAATTGTAATCACAGCTATCACAATAATCCTTTTAAGGAATTAACCTCTGTATGTCAGAACAAACGATGCTGTGGGCCTTAACCCCCGTGGTAACAAATTTATGTCTCCGATTGGGTGCCGGAAGTGACACTCACTTACTAGTGGCTATATTCTAAATAGTATCAAGTAGTGCCAAATGGATTTTAGTCGCCTCTTACGACAGGCGTGCGTTGCCTTGAGAATATGTCTATCCAAAACGGATAAGCAGTTAGGATGTAAAGATTTCTAAGTAGATCCACCAGGGATCGCCGGTATAACCAAACCTAACCTAATAAAACAAAAGTTTTTACTAATTTAATTAAAATATGATATCCTCTAAAACAAAGCCCTGCGAGAAGTCTATTACAACTTCAAAAAAAAAATTTGGTTTTTTTTTTAATAATTATTAGCTTGTGTCAACCGCTTTAAAAAGCCACAGATATCGCTTTTTTCCGACGGTGGATGTATGTGCTGTTGTGCTATAAATTTGTTGTGTTATTGGCTGGAGCGGTGGATGTCGGATGTTGAAATCCCACTGATTGTGCACGTAGCAAACGAAACTTCACACAACACTGAGCACGTACCAAAGTTTAAAATCGCTCCAAATTATGCTACTATGCCGTCTCATAATATGGGTGGGTGGGTGAGGTGAGCCCCTGGAGAGGTTGCACTGCTGACGCTATGGCTTGTTCATTTGTGGTTAGTGTCACTGCATTTAATTGGTGTTGTGTTGCTATTAGTGCTTCGGTTTTTTCACTTTTGCGTCCTGTATATTGTTTCGTAATTACCTTGCCTGTAACGCACACTGAGCACTAAAGATTTTTTCCAATTTAAATTGTGTCAGAGCATTTTAAGTGTGATTGCATTTTGATGTCGTTTATTACTTGAATTTATAAATGAATAAATTTTTTAAAATGCTTTTCAATGATTTTTTAGTTTCAGTTTTAAATTTAATTTCAAATTGACTCTTTCAACCTTCTGCAGTCACTCTTAATACTTGAGATATCAGCAGCGATACGGACACTTTATTTCTCATATTTTACATTCTGCTCCTTGCCCACAGGAAATTAAATATGACCGTCATGGCCAAGAGTAGATGAAATGAGTGTATTAACCGGAATTTGCTGGTGATTGTAAGCGGATATTATCAGAGGAAATCATTTTACGTAGTGGCAATATTTCATAAAGTCTACTGTGATATTTGACACTTGACTTCTCTGTGTAATAAAATTTTACAAGTTTACTTTAAATTTTGATAAATTGTGGTTTGCTTCGAGAATACAAAATTGCAACATTATCTCAAACAATGTAAAGTATATTTGCTAAACAAATATTTTATTAATGCAACAAATTGAAAATTGTAATTTATTTATAAGGAACTGAAGGTTTATTTTATTTTAGTTGAATTTTAGATAAATATTTTATCGAATTTTGCTTTACGTAAATTTTCATTGAATTTTATGCAAGTGTTGAGGACAATACATATAGTAAAATACTGAAAGCTCAACTCTATGTAAGAAGAAGTCAATAAAGATC